ATTGTAGACAGGGAGCCTATGGGGCCTGTGAGAGGTCAGTTCCCCAGACAGTCAGTTGTTATACAGTCTGGCTCTACACTGGCCTCTCTCTCTTTCGCTCGCTTACAGATTCACTCGGCTGACACCCAAGACACTCATCTCCTCCTCTCTTCTCTTCCTCTCCTCCTCCTCTCATCTCTTCCTCATCTCCTCTCCCCTCATCTCCTCTCCTCCTCTCCCCTCCTCTCCTCTCCTCCTCATCCCCTCTCCTCCTTCCTCTCTCCCAGTTGTCCTCTTACTTCCTGGCCACTACAGTAAACTCCCTCACCTTCCCCCTTGACTCACCCTTCGCTGGCCCTTCCACTGTGACTCGTTGCCATAAATGGAACAGAGTGGACTAGGATCCACACACACACACACACACACACACACACACAGAAAGATACACACAGACAGAGGCTGCTTCAGTCCTTTAGTCATACTGGTGTCTTGCTCCCTCAGGGCAAGAGAAATGGCACCAGACACCACAACATACACACACACACACACATCCTCTCGAAGACGTCATCTGTGAAGTCTCCTAACATGATTAAATGCTGCAGCCCTCAGAGGACCTCCACCGCTGGCTTCAATTTAGGATAACTGATCTTAACAGCCTGCAGTAAGGAAAGGAGGGGTGGATGGGGTGTGTGTGGGTGGGTGGGGTTTACACAATTACCCTATAACCCACGATTATGGATGAAGAAAATAAAAGAACCATTTAAATGTTTATTTTGGGGGGGAACGAACAGCTGACGGGAGGAGGGAAGGATGGAGGGAACACCTCTCACATCTGCCTGCTAGACAGGACTCGCCCACTTCCAGCTCCACTCATCACAACCTGAAGCTCAAGTGCAGCATGCATGATGTTTGTTTGGTATAGGGCTGTCCCTGACCCCAAAAAATATATATATTGGCCGACCAAAAATCGTCTGTTCTTTCAACCAATCGATTGGTAGAAATTTTTTAATGTGTATTTTTCCATATATAGAAACACCCTATGTGTTTTAATAAAATCAACTATATGCATTGAGCTTGTCAGATGCTTAAAGCTTACGGTTTGATGCATCACGAGGGCACCAGAGATCTAGAGAACCAGAAGGAAAAAACCTGACCCAACTATTCTCCTCCCGCTCCTGATGGCTTTGTCAGATTCTGCCGTTACTCTCCTGAAGTTGCCGGTAATAGGTTACACGAGGAGTCGGCAACCTTTCTCATGTTGAATGCCAATTTATCTTACCATTTCTACCGATCTGCGTGCCCGTTATGGTTTTCATATGCACATTTTCGTGAAAGAGTTTAATTTAATTTATAATAATATCTTCATATCTCAATCATTGTCATGTGGTTCATCAAAATTCTATCCAAATCTAAATTAAAATGATACAAACCTAAAAAGTAAATTCTATTGCCATTGCCAACTATGTAAAAATATCCTACATAAAGCCAACAAATAAAAACATTGCAGCCTGCAGGTAGAAAATATCCTGATTAAAAAATAAAAAATAAAATCCTATAAATCACATTGGCTACACATGGCCTGTCTTGATAAGAAGTAATCTGGTAGGCCTATTTTATGACGTTTCCACTGGATCAGAGCATGACATTTTTCACGTTCACGCTGAGTGGTTATCGAAAGGGAGAGGGCTGGAAAGATTTTCCAGGTAGCCTACAGGTCTACTTATAATATAATAATAATAATATGCCATTTAGCAGACGCTTTTATCCAAAGCGACTTACAGTCATGCGTGCATACATTTTTTTTGTGTATGGGTGGTCCCGGGGATCGAACCCACTACCTTGGCGTTACAAGCGCCGTGCTCTACCAGCTGAGCTACAGAGGACCACAGAGGACTACTTCTATGCATGCGCGTCCTTACTCAACATTGACAGGAGCGCTCCAAACAAAATACATTTACTAAATTGCCAAAACTCGTAAATGGTATGAAATAAACCCAAACTTGTTTCTCACAAGTGTAGAATAGGTTGTGTACTCTGCAAACAACGTGACCACTCAGACAATGACACAACTGGAAGACTGGAATAATACAATAATTACCATAACCAAAGCAACAAACATTGTAGATTAGATGATAAATGATAGGAATTAACGGTAAATGTACTACTGGTGATACTGTATGTAATGGGGAATTGATATACACTAACAATGAGCTGCATCCGCTTTCACACGACTGATACTGCGATCAACATCAGATTTCCTCATAAAGTAGTATGCTGCACGTGTCACAGCCTTCACACTAAGGCCCACTAAATCTCTCTGGTTAGCGGTAGGGGTTGGACATCAGTCCCCAGGGGAACGAGGACTGTACATATTCACTTCAACTGACTTCAACACTCCAGTGTCGTCAAACCTTTTTCCGAAGTGGTTCCTCCTTGGATTACAATGTTTTTTTTTTGTGAATTACTGACTGTTCTACTGACTGTTGTACTGACTGTTGTACGGTTCTCTGCTATGTTCTAGGTAAAGAGAACGTACAGCCACGGGACGTACCGGGCAGGTGCCATGCGTCAGATCAGTCTGGTGGGAGCCGTGGACGAGGAGGTGGGGGATTACTTCCCAGAGTTCATCTCTATGCTGGAGGAGTCACCCTTCCTAGAGGTGAGTAGCATTGACACAGAATAATTATAGAGATTCATCATTTATAGATGATATCAATCTATAGGTAATAAGTTGTATTTAAAGTCATTTTCACCAAGTTTCTAAATGCTTTAGTTCAGGCCACATTGTATTGGGAGAACTCGACTCATTTAATCTATAAACAAAGGAAGTTGCCCTCTAGTGGTTGAGAAGAGTAATTGTGGTTTTTCAACAACAACAAAAAAAGCTTTGATGACGTCTGAAAATTGGATGATCTCTTCCCTGTTCCAGTTTTTATTCCTTTCTATCCCCCCCCCCCCCCCCCCCCCCCCTTATTATAACTGTAGCGTAACCTCGTCCCTCTCTCCTTCCCTCCCTCCAGCGGACGTTACCGTGGGGTACGTTCTCCAGTCTGAAGCTGAAGAGTCCAAAAGAGAGTGATGACGGGCCCATCATGTGGGTACGGCCTGGGGAACAGATGATCCCTGTTGCTGACATACCAAAGTCTCCCTACATAAGGAGAAGGTGAGGGCTCACTGTTTTTACAGATAGTAGGTCCTACTTTCACACACAGAGATGCAAATAAATGTATGTTTTTTACAGGATCCTACTTCAAAAGGAACTACTTAGGTTCTTAAGTGGGTACACACACACATTATGTCCTTCTATCCTCGTGGGGACCTACAATTTATTTCCTTTCTAAATCCTATTCTCCTAAACCCTAAACCTAACCACTAACCCTAATCCTAACCCTAATTGTAACCCTAAACCTAACCCCTAAGCTTAAAATAACCTTTGTCCTCATGGGGATGTGGGAAATATCACCACGAGGGAGAAATGTTCCTTGTTTTACTATCCTTGTGGGGACTTTGGGGGATTTTTGGTCCCCCCACAAGGATAGAAGAACCAACCAACCAACCAACCAACACACTCACTGACACAGCCCCTGGATGTCCCCTAAGCAGTGTGAGATTGCGAGGGGCTAAGAAGGGATTTCAGCTCTATACTGAATGTGTTGATATTGGCTTTGGCTTAAGTGTTTGTTCTTCTTAAAACGAGAAGCCGATCCTCCACACTACACACAGGCAGAATGTACTTCCCTCTGTCCAGCGATTCGCTCTTTCTATTTTCCATCCTCCTCTCTCTCTTTCCTTCTTAAGGTCCTGACTGTAATGTTGCTTTCCATAAACATGAGGTCTGCTTCCTAAATCACACCCTAGTCCCTATATAGTGCACTACTTTTAACCAGGCCAGGGCCCTGTAGTGCACTATAGAGAATAGGGTGTCATTTGGGACTCAGCAGAAAGGAGCTATTTTCTGCTCTGAACCTATCATCTTCTCAGGATGAGGCGATTTAGCTCCTCTCTGTGTTTAGTTTATCATCATGTAGGCTACCGCCGTAGCAAATTAATTCTGTTTAGAAAGAAGAGAGAGAGACGAAAAGGGAGGGGAGGGAGAGTGGAGCAGGTTCCCGCTCACCCTCCTAGATGAGATCATCGCCATGTTAAACAATGCTACATCAGACAACCGGCTGCTCATTGTAACACACAGAGACACATGCACACAGATACAGACTTGTTTAACTAACCTTGTTGGGACACACAATTCATTCAAAATCCTATTTTCCCTAACCCCAAAATCTAACCCTAAACCTAACCTTTAACCCCTAACCCTAACACTAATTCTAACCTTAACCCCCTAGAAATAGCCTTTTTCCTTGTGGGGACTAACATAAGTATAGTTAAACACATCCACACACACAGAGAGACGCGCACACACACACACACAGAGAGAGACACACACACAGAGAGAGAGATGCGCACACACACACACACACACACACACAGAGACACGCGCACACACCCAGTCTCTCATGTCATTTTATTCACAACAATCCCTGCAGCTCAGCATTCCAACACTGCCGCTTCTCCAAACTGCTGAGATTTGATTTATTTCACTCCTTTTTTCCATCTTCTTTACTTCCCTCTCTTCTTGCCGTTTATTCCTAGTGGAACGGACAGGGAGGAGTCATTTCATCATGACAATATTAGCACCGTAGCTTGATTTAAAGAGCAACGAATCCTTTTGAAGACTGCCTATGTGGCATGGATATGAGTCAGAGACAGTTATTCTAGTGTCATTTTGGTCATGAAGTCAGTCTCGTCTAAAACAGAGTTGGCACCCTATTCACCTTGCAAGTATGCATTTCACTGTACTGTTTAGACCTGCTGTATCCTTTTGACATCTGGTCAAAAGCTGTGCACTATATAGGGAATAGGGTGCTATTTGGGATGCAAGCTATATTGCTACTGGGGGTGACTCTACTGTAGCTAAAGCTCGCCTTGAAAACCTGCCCGGCAACAGTGACTAGGGTCTGGTTTCAATGACACTCTTTTGGCAACTTCGATAAAGGGAACAACCGGGGTGGGTCCTCTGAAGACGGACAACTCTCTTAACAAATCACATTTTACATTTGTACATTTTAGTCATTTAGCAGACGCTCTCATCCAGAGCGACTTACAGGAGCAATTAGGGTTAAGTGCCTTGCTCAAGGACACATCGACAGATTTTTCACCTAGTCAGCTCGGGGATTACAACCAGCGACCTTTCGGTTACTGGCACAACGCTCTTAACCACTAAGCTACCTGCCGCCAGGCAGACATGATGCCAGAACGTTGCTGTTCCAAACCAAAGTCTGCTGGGAAAAGTTGCCCCCCCACATTTGGGGGACTAAAATATTTATTTATTATTCCAAATATTTTCAAATGTATTTTTTGTTGTTGCAAGGAGCTGTCTTTTTTGTGTTATTTTTGGGGGGTATTTCTTTCCCTGTCTTTTTTCACACAAAAAATCTATCATAGTCATGTAATACCATTGACAGCTGTTACAAATAACCATCCTACAATAGGGAAGTGGGAGCTAAAGGTTCATGGTCCCCCAGACTACCTGTCACACCTCCCCCAGAACACCCCGCCCTCTTCACTGTTACCAAGGGTGGGCTTTACGAGACTATAGGCTGTCAGGAACACTTGTCGGACCTGATGGCTGGATCTCTCACACACACACACACACACACACACACACACACACACACACACACACACACACCACACACACACACACACTTCTGTGTTTTAGCTGCTAGAGGAGCAGAAGGGAAAGTGAGACCCATAGGTAATCAATCTTATATCCTTACCATTATACTCCCCTTGTCATGGAAGCCCCCTTTACACACACACACACACACACACACACACGGAACCCCCTTGCCGATCCCCCTCGCTGCTCCCCCCTTAATGACGGCATCGTGTAAAATGGATGATTTATTTATTTGTTCTTGAGTCTTCATCTTCATGCTCAGGGAATCCTCAGGGTCTTTTATAGGACGCGGTAACACATGGTTTATGGACCATACTGTACACACAGGAGACAGACATGGAGACCTTGACTGAAGAGAAGGCCTCTTTTACGGCTGTTCCCAGGCAGATTGATGAGCCTATAGCCACTTGACCAAGTAGTCAAAATAACACTTAACTTTCTGACCCAAAACAGCCACACCAGAATTCTGGGAGTAAATTACTGAGTTTTCACTCTGTCTGCTTGCTCAGTTTCCGCCCTCACCTTGTAATAAGTCTCACCAAGTTGACTTGGTCACCTTCACTAGTACCCCACTGTCTGTCCTCATAGATACTGTAGTACAGTGACTAGTACCCCACTGTCTGTCCTCATAGATACTGTAGTACAGTGACTAGTACCCCACTGTCTGTCCTCATAGATACTGTAGTACAGTGACTAGTGTCTCACTGTCTGTCCTCATAGATACTGTAGTACAGTGACTAGTACCCCACTGTCTGTCCTCATAGATACTGTAGTACAGTGACTAGTACCTCACTATCTGTCCTCATAGATACTGTAGTACAGTGACTAGTGTCTCACTGTCTGTCCTCATAGATACTGTAGTACAGTGACTAGTACCCCACTGTCTGTCCTCATAGATACTGTAGTACAGTGACTAGTACCCCACTGTCTGTCCTCACAGATACTGTAGTACAGTGACTAGTACCCCACTGTCTGTCCTCATAGATACTGTAGTACAGTGACTAGTACCTCACTGTCTGTCCTCATAGATACTGTAGTACAGTGACTAGTACCCCACTGTCTGTCCTCATAGATACTGTAGTACAGTGACTAGTACCCCCACTGTCTGTCCTCATAGATACTGTAGTACAGTGACTAGTACCCCACTGTCTGTCCTCATAGATACTGTAGTACAGTGACTAGTACCCCACTGTCTGTCCTCATAGATACTGTAGTACAGTGACTAGTACCCCACTGTCTGTCCTCATAGATACTGTAGTACAGTGACTAGTACCCCACTGTCTGTCCTCATAGATACTGTAGTACAGTGACTAGTACCCCACTGTCTGTCCTCATAGATACTGTAGTACAGTGACTAGTACCCCACTGTCTGTCCTCATAGATACTGTAGTACAGTGACTAGTACCCCACTGTCTGTCCTCATAGATACTGTAGTACAGTGACTAGTACCCCACTGTCTGTCCTCATAGATACTGTAGTACAGTGACTAGTACCCCACTGTCTGTCCTCATAGATACTGTAGTACAGTGACTAGTACCCCACTGTCTGTCCTCATAGATACTGTAGTACAGTGACTAGTACCCACTGTCTGTCCTCATAGATACTGTAGTACAGTGACTAGTACCCCACTGTCTGTCCTCATAGATACTGTAGTACAGTGACTAGTACCCCACTGTCTGTCCTCATAGATACTGTAGTACAGTGACTAGTACCCCACTGTCTGTCCTCATAGATACTGTAGTACAGTGACTAGTACCCCACTGTCTGTCCTCATAGATACTGTAGTACAGTGACTAGTACCCCACTGTCTGTCCTCATAGATACTTAGTCAGTGGATAGACCCCAGTCTGTCCTCATAGATACTGTAGTACCGTGGACTAGTACCCCACTGTCTGTCCTCATAGATACTGTAGTACAGTGACTAGTACCCCACTGTCTTCCTCATAGATACTGTAGTACAGTGACTAGTACCCCACTGTCTGTCCTCATAGATACTGTAGTACAGTGACTAGTACCCCACTGTCTGTCCTCATAGATACTGTAGTACAGTGACTAGTACCCCACTGTCTGTCCTCATAGATACTGTAGTACAGTGACTAGTACCCCCACTGTCTGTCCTCATAGATACTGTTTAGTACAGTGACTAGTACCCCCACTGTCTGTCCTCATAGATACTGTAGTACAGTGACTAGTACCCCACTGTCTGTCCTCATAGATACTGTAGTACAGTGACTAGTACCCACTGTCTGTCCTCATAGATACTGTAGTACAGTGACTAGTACCCCACTGTCTGTCCTCATAGATACTGTAGTACAGTGACTAGTACCCCACTGTCTGTCCTCATAGATACTGTAGTACAGTGACTAGTACCCCACTGTCTGTCCTCATAGATACTGTAGTACAGTGACTAGTACCCCACTGTCTGTCCTCATAGATACTGTAGTACAGTGACTAGTACCCCACTGTCTGTCCTCATAGATACTGTAGTACAGTGACTAGTACCCCACTGTCTGTCCATCAATAGATATTATTGATATACCCCTTCTTCCATCAGTATATTCGAAGTGACTGTACCAACCTGCCTAAAACCAAACAGGCTAGTAATGCGGTCTAGAGCACGGTGGTCAGTGAAACTCCCATGAAGGCCAAAAACTAGAAGAAGAAACCTAGATGATGTAACCACTGCGTCTCATGAGACGGTAGTACCAGTCCTCTTACTGGCACTGTTGTCCTCATAGATACTGTAGTACAGTGACTAGTACCCCACTGTCTGTCCTCATAGATACTGTAGTACAGTGACTAGTACCCCACTGTCTGTCCTCATAGATACTGTAGTACAGTGACTAGTACCCCACTGTCTGTCCTCATAGATACTGTAGTACAGTGACTAGTACCCACTGTCTGTCCTCATAGATACTGTAGTACAGTGACTAGTACCCCACTGTCTGTCCTCATAGATACTGTAGTACAGTGACTAGTACCCACTGTCTGTCCTCATAGATACTGTAGTACAGTGACTAGTACCCCACTGTCTGTCCTCATAGATACTGTAGTACAGTGACTAGTACCCCACTGTCTGTCCTCATAGATACTGTAGTACAGTGACTAGTACCCCACTGTCTGTCCTCATAGATACTGTAGTACAGTGACTAGTACCTCACTGTCTGTCCTCATAGATACTGTAGTACAGTGACTAGTACCTCACTGTCTGTCCTCATAGATACTGTAGTACAGTGACTAGTACCCCACTGTCTGTCCTCATAGATACTGTAGTACAGTGACTAGTACCTCACTGTCTGTCCTCATAGATACTGTAGTACAGTGACTAGTACCCCACTGTCTGTCCTCATAGATACTGTAGTACAGTGACTAGTACCCCACTGTCTGTCCTCATAGATACTGTAGTACAGTGACTAGTACCCCACTGTCTGTCCTCATAGATACTGTAGTACAGTGACTAGTACCCCCACTGTCTGTCCTCATAGATACTGTAGTACAGTGACTAGTACCCCACTGTCTGTCCTCATAGATACTGTAGTACAGTGACTAGTACCCCACTGTCTGTCCTCATAGATACTGTAGTACAGTGACTAGTACCCTCACTGGTCTGTCCTCATAGATACTGTAGTACAGTGACTAGTACCCCACTGTCTGTCCATCATAGATACTGTAGTACAGTGACTAGTACCCCACTGTCTGTCCTCATAGATACTGTAGTACAGTGACTAGTACCCCACTGTCTGTCCTCATAGATACTGTAGTACAGTGACTAGTACCCCACTGTCTGTCCTCATAGATACTGTAGTACAGTGACTAGTACCCCACTGTCTGTCCTCATAGATACTGTAGTACAGTGACTAGTACCCCACTGTCTGTCCTCATAGATACTGTAGTACAGTGACTAGTACCCCACTGTCTGTCCTCATAGATACTGTAGTACAGTGACTAGTACCCCACTGTCTGTCCTCATAGATACTGTAGTACAGTGACTAGTACCCCACTGTCTGTCCTCATAGATACTGTAGTACAGTGACTAGTACCCCACTGTCTGTCCTCATAGATACTGTAGTACAGTGACTAGTACCCCACTGTCTGTCCTCATAGATACTGTAGTACAGTGACTAGTACCCCACTGTCTGTCCTCATAGATACTGTAGTACAGTGACTAGTACCCCACTGTCTGTCCTCATAGATACTGTAGTACAGTGACTAGTACCCCACTGTCTGTCCTCATAGATACTGTAGTACAGTGACTAGTACCTCCACTGTCTGTCCTCATAGATACTGTAGTACAGTGACTAGTACCCACTGTCTGTCCTCATAGATACTGTAGTACAGTGACTAGTACCTCACTGTCTGTCCTCATAGATACTGTAGTACAGTGACTAGACTCTCTGACTCAGACGTAGTACCAATAGACCCAGTTGGCCAAATACGTTCAGTGACAACAGGAGCTTTAAAAAGTGGTCTCCCCCTCTCTCTTCTTCCCCCTCCTTCCCTCTAGTCGTGACTAGTACCCCACTGTCTTCCTCAAGTACTATACAGAAGACCCATGTCTGTTCCTCATGATACTGTATCTGAACTAGTACCCTGGGTCTCAGTTGTGCAGTACTATTATCATGCAGCAGGCAATGGCAGAAGACCCTGTCCCTCTAGTCATACTACCACTCCCTCATCACAATGCTCCCTAACTCCCTATAAGTACCTCTGTCTGTGCAGGCAGGCTGGCAGAAGCCCTGTCCAACATCTGCATACTAAACAGCACTCGGGCTCCATCACAAATGGCACCCTAACCCCTATATAGTACACTGCTGTAGAGCACTATATAGGGAATAGGGTGTCATTTGTGACGGGGCCACTCTATCTCTTCGTTGGTTGCTTCTCTCTCAACACAGTGTTCGCAGTGTAATGCATGCTAAACGTGGGGATGTACTCTCACTGCCTTTACAATGGCAGTTTTACCCCTCTCTGACTAACCCTCTTTAAAATGAATCCAGTGGTGGTGGATGGGAAGAATACATGTTTTTCTGGAATCTCATTTCAGATGCTTCTGCGGCCGTGTGCTTTGTCGCAATGTCAACCCAGTTCAGTATTTCCATTCTGTGACTTTGTGGTGAACCAATAAAACCAGAAAAAAACCCACAATCTTTAAATGTAGTTGCCTATAGGCTTACTAAGCTCCAAGGTCAGGGATATCCTAGACCAGCTCTCCAGAGTCATATAGGAATTGATGATTGATTGATTATTTTGGTCTTATTATGGCCTTCTGCTATAGAAGTTTGTGTTAATCTCAATGTCCTCTCCTCTTCCAGGTCAACCAATGAGATCAAGAACCTGCAGTACCTACCTCGGGCCAGCGAGCCTCGTGAGATGCTTTTCGATGACCGGACGCGTGCCCACGCTGACCATATCGGACAGGGCTTCGAGAGGCAGACCACCGCCGCTGTGGGGGTGCTCAAGGCCGTGCGCTGTGGAGAGGGGTGGGTGGTTTTAACACCCGGATATATGATCATGTATTGTCTTTAGATACAACGTTGCTTGGTAAAAATGACTTTAAACTGTAGGCCTATTGGGGCTGTATTTAGTATCCAATAATCATCCTACTAATCAGTTGCAAGACAGCTGCATAATCTGATTGGAAATCAATGATAATCTCCCTTCTCTCTCTCTGTAGTGCGGAGCCCCCTCGCGTTACCAAAGACGTGATCTGTTTCCATGCTGGAGACTTCCCTAATGTAGTCCAGAGGTTACAACTGGACCTGCACGAACCGCCTCTGTCCCAGGTGAGCTGCACCTGTCTTCTACCTTGTTTCTATGGCATGATGATCCTCCACAGCCCTATACACTCTACTGCCACCCTCTGGCTAGATGTGGTACTACCAGGAGGGCTCAGGGCCTGTCCTCCACTAAGAGACCCTCCAGGAGGGCTCAGGGCCTGTCCTCTATTAAAGAGACCCTCCAGGAGGGCTCAGGGCCTGTCCTCTATTAAAGAGACCCTCCAGGAGGGCTCAGGGCCTGTTCTCCACTAAGAGACCCTCCAGGAGGGCTCAGGGCCTGTCCTCTATTAAAGAGACCCTCCAGGAGGGCTCAGGGCCTGTCCTCCATTAAAGAGACCCTCCAGGAGGGCTCAGGGCCTGTCCTCCACTAAGAGACCCTCCAGGAGGGCTCAGGGCCTGTCCTCTATTAAAGAGACCCTCCAGGAGGGCTCAGGGCCTGTCCTCCATTAAAGAGACCCTCCAGGAGGGCTCAGGGCCTGTCCTCCACTAAGAGACCCTCCAGGAGGGCTCAGGGCCTGTTCTCCACTAAGAGACCCTCCAGGAGGGCTCAGGGCCTGTCCTCCACTAAGAGACCCTCCAGGAGGGCTCAGGGCCTGTCCTCCACTAAAGAGATCCTCCAGGAGGGCTCAGGGCCTGTCCTCCACTAAGAGACCCTCCAGGAGGGCTCAGGGCCTGTCCTCTATTAAAGAGACCCTCCAGGAGGGCTCAGGGCCTGTCCTCCACTAAGAGACCCTCCAGGAGGGCTCAGGGCCTGTCCTCCACTAAAGAGATCCTCCAGGAGGGCTCAGGGCCTGTCCTCTATTAAAGAGACCCTCCAGGAGGGCTCAGGGCCTGTCCTCCACTAAGAGACCCTCCAGGAGGGCTCAGGGCCTGTCCTCCACTAAGAGACCCTCCAGGAGGGCTCAGGGCCTGTCCTCCACTAAAGAGATCCTCCAGGAGGGCTCAGGGCCTGTCCTCTATTAAAGAGATCCTCCAGGAGGGCTCAGGGCCTGTCCTCCACTAAGAGACCCTCCAGGAGGGCTCAGGGCCTGTCCTCCACTAAAGAGATCCTCCAGGAGGGCTCAGGGCCTGTTCTCCACTAACCAGTTAAATGTAACTAAATGCAATCGAAAACGTAATCTACGTAATCCCCAAAAGTAATTATTTATCATGACAGGGCCATAAACAATAACTAGTAATGCTGCATACCTCAAGAAAGGTTAAAATCTCACCTTTCTGGTAAAAATTGTTATAGATTGCTGACGACACTAGTTCAAGTGCACAGTACACAGTACAAATATGAAAATATGAAATATTTCATACAATGTATTTCCTATTCAGCAAAACTGTATGAATAAGGCTTTAAATGATTTATATGCTTTCTAAATATAGTATAATCAAATTATTAAAATGACTAACTATAAGAGTTCACCTTCCTCATAACTGTGAAATACATATTTGTATGTTTAGTGTTAGAGAAAATTAACATATTTTCTAAAGGTCTCTCTTGACCAAAACCTCTGCCCTCATCGCTGTGAATGTCTCACTGAGCTCTAGCTTGGCTTCCTGAACTCGTTAGGAACTCTCCTTTCATCTCATATGAATCTTGTCCATCTATGACAAACAGAAAGGGTTTTTTGTTTCAAATCTATGAATTATTTTAGATTACTGGCTATAAATCGGTCTCTGAATGTGCTACAGCGACAAAACTACTTTAAAAAAAAAAGTTTATTTATATATTTTGGTGTATTTTACCCCCTTTTTCTCCCCAATTTTGATCGTGTCTCCCCAACGGGCTTGGGAGAGGCGAAGGTTGAGTCATGCGTCCTCTGAAACCGCGCTTCTTAACACCCGCCAGCTTAACCCGGACGCCAGCTGCACCAATGTGTCGGAGGAAACACCGTTCAACTGACGACCGAAGTCAGCCTACAGGCGCCTGGCCCGCCACAAGGAGTCGCTAGAGCGCGATGAGCCAAGTAAAGCCCCCCCGGCCAAACCCTCCCCTAACCTGGACGACGCTGGGTCAATTGTGCGCCGCCCTATGGGACTCCTGGTCACGGCCGGTTGTGACACAGCCTGGGATCGAACACGGGTCTGTAGTGACGCCTCAAGCACTGCGATGCAGTGCCTTAGACCGCTGCGCCACTCGGGAGGCCCAAACCTACTATTTTCTGCTGCGCTACGATGTAAGGATTGTAGGCATATGTGTTGTTGGTGGCTGTGACATAGGGTTCAGCCAGGAGTTGATGGACAGTCTGAAGAACGAATGAAAGGGTAGGAGGGACATCCCAGCTTCAAATGGTGTCAGATTTCACACCCTGCTTCACACAGGCGTCTGTGAGAATCAGGGCTACCGCTCAATGCAAGCCATTTCGATGGTAACCGGTACCAGAACCATGCAGGTCCCCAACACAGGGGACTTTACATCTTAGAGGTTTTTAAAGAGACCCTCCAGGAGGGTTGAGGGTCTGTCCTCCATTAAGAACCCTCCAGGAGGGTTCAGGGCCTGTCCTCCATTAAAGAGACCCTCCAGGAGGGTTGAGGGCCTGTCCTCTATTAAAGAGACCCTCCAGGAGGGCTCAGGGCCTGTCCTCTATTAAAGAGACCCTCCAGGAGGGTTGAGGGCCTGTCCTCTATTAGAGACCCTCCAGGAGGGCTCAGGGCCTGTCCTCCATTAAGAAACCTCCAGGAGGTAGGGTCTGAGGTGATTAACTCCGTCTGTTACTTTCAAATGCACCCCAGGAGGGCTCAGCTTCCTCCATTATGATTTACTCCAGTTGTTTGAATAGGAGCAGCTAAGGTGATTTCCCATCTCATGTTACTTTAAGGCGTGCTGAGATCATACAATTGAGAATATCCCCTGGTCATGTTAGACAATTTGAACTTCCTCATGCTCTCTCTCCTCCCGTGCTTGCCTGCTACCTGATTCCCTTCTATGTATACATCTCACTCGTCTCATCTTTTCACCCCTCACTCTCTCTCTCTCCCCCTCCCCCTCTCTCTCTCTCTCCTCTCTCTCCCCCTCCCTCTCTCTCTCTCTCTCTCTCTCTCTCTCTCTCTCCATTAGTGTGTGCAGTGGGTGGATGATGCTAAGCTGAACCAGCTGAGACGCGAGGGGATCCGCTACGCCCGTATCCAGCTGTACGACAACGACATCTACTACATCCCCCGTAGTGTGGTTCATCAGTTCAAGACTGTTTCTGCTGTCTGCAGCCTGGCATGGCACATCCGCTTAAAACAATATCACCAAGAGCCCCCGGCCGAGGAGGACGAAGAGGAGGAGAGGAAGGTGGACGTGTCGACGCTACGAGTCAAACAGGAGGAGTTTGGGGATGCCTTGATGGGGGGGACCCCAGCTCCTCTTACAGACCCCAACCCCCCTAAAGACAGAGACGGAGAGAGAGACACTGCCCACCCGGAGGTCAAAGTGGAACCTCAACCTGCAGATATAAGGCTGCCCAAACCCTCTGTCACCTCACCCCTCGCCCCTCCACCAGCTCCCATCTCCCCCCTAACTCCCTCCAAATCCTCTTTCCAGGACACCAAGCCCAAATCACATCACCCCCACTACCACCACCATCATCATCATCACTCAGAATCACATCAAACCTCTTCCACACACTCTTCCTCATCTTCCTCACTCAAACCCTCCCCCACATCCACCCCCTCTTCCTCTCCCAAACCCAGCCCGTCATCTTCACGTACCCCCTCTCCCAAACCTAGCCCCACTTCTACACACTCTTCCTCCTTCAAACCCAGCCCGGCTTCCTCTCGTACCCCCAGTCCCTCTCCCTCACGCAAACCCTGCCTCACCCCTTCGCCCACCCTTACCCACACCCCTATCCCCACCCTTACCCACACCCCTATCCCCACCCTTACCCACACCCCTATCCCCTTTTCGACGCCCTCCCCTGCACCCCTTCCACCTTCTTCAAGACTGGCCTCCAGCCACACAGAGAGCAGGACCCCCACACCCCAGTTCCGGCCCCAAACCCAGCCTCAGCTCAGACCGGACAAAGAGACTTGTCTTTACCCAAAGGCCCCAGTCACCCCCCCAGAAACAGTGCTGCCTGGCCCCCCGCACCACTCCTCCCTCTCCCTTAAACACCACCTTCATGATCAGCAGCAGAAAGATGTTTTCTACTGATCTTTGTACATAGTGTTTTTAAATGGCTCTTTTGGGTTCTGTTTTAATACGATCTAAAAGAAAGGAATAAAACCATGATACCAACTCGGTGGGTGATGTATTCTAAGGAACATGTAAAGCTCTGTTGGTCTGCATCCCAAATGGCACCCTATTCCCTATATAGTGCACTACTTTGTGACCAGGGCCCGTAGGAGGGATCTGTTCAAAAGTAGTGCACTATATAGGGAATGGGGTGTCCCTTAAGGACGCACTCTTGCTCTGTTGTGTTACTGAATGAATACATAGCAAATGTAACATTCCTCAGTGCCTGTCCATAACTGTGTAGCCTGGTCCCAGATCAGTTTGTGCCTGTCTTGTCTCATTGTGACCATACAGTAGGAGTTGGCTTGGCAAGACCGCACAAACTGATCTGGGACTCAGGCTAAGAACTGTGAACTGTCAAAGCACTAAGGGCCAGAAGCACTGGTACTCTGCAGGTCAAACAGCTCCTTAAATAATATATTTTAGTTGTAGGTTATAGATGGATTATTATTATTAGAGCTGACATGAATATATATATATATTTTGTAAGATGATGAGAAAGAGTTTCTTTTAAAAAGGATGACTCCAGGCTTTTTTTCCCCCACAGAGGCTTATTTATATCAAGGAAGATTTTAGTTTGTATTACTTTTGTTCGATTTTAATTGTCAGCACTGTAGTGTAAATAACTTTTTGTAAGGAGAAAAACGTGTAGTGTGATTTATACTTAAATATGGACCTCTTAATAAAGGTTAACGTTATGAGTGTTGTTTGATCATGGGGCTACAGTGGATACCAGACGTACAGTACATCACTGGTTCATATCCCACTCAAAGGACCAATCTGATGTCCTTTATCATGGCTTTTTAGGTTATGAATAACTTATGAAACTGATAAGACCATCAATTGTATATTTAACAGGTATCTTTTTGCAATAGAGACATGTTGGGCTTGAAGAAGAGTGTATATTTGGGATTCAACTTGCCACTTTAATCTGAAACAGGCTGTTGATTTATTTCTGCACAAGTCTCCAATAAGATGAATGTCTGCCTGGAGACAGGACAGCGTGTGATCTGCAGAAGCACATTTTAGC